GACCTGATTCTCGGTACTGACATGTTTTCCTGTCAATCCGCAAAAATCTATCTGTCCGAAGAAGGTTTATGGAAACTACCTCCGTTGCAGATTTCTTCGTACGATGCATGTACAGAATGTAATGCTTCGGATGCACTTCGTCAAAGGACGTATTTACTGACCGAATTCTCGATGGCGACTAATGTTCCCCGCAATATTATACCGGCTTTTTATAATTCGTATTTCGAATTACAGCGTGCGTATATTTCATCTCTGATTTGTTGAATTTCGAAATAAAATGATAAGTACATGCATATACAAGCAAAATTTAATTACTTTTCGATCAATACGGTGACAATCAGGGTGTTTGAAGAATTTTCGAAATAAAATTTTAAAATACATTTCTAACGAATAATTTAATTCGCGTTGGTATTTTAATTACAAAAATGACAAATCGGACAATTTGAATTTAGTAATTTTTTAAACATTTTATATTTCTAATATATTTATTCGTTAAACGGTATTTGTTATTTAAGTCATGGAATGCATTTGTGCTTTTCTCTGTGTCGTAAATTCAGGTCATCATCATCATAGCTATTGAACGTGTTCTCCTGTATATTTTCTCTATCTCGACTTAGAGTGTGTCTACAGCCAAGTTTTTAGAATGATCTTGTATACAAGACACATCCAGCTTATCTCCAGAATGTAAAGAAGGATCTTTCTTGCCAGGAATTCCGCCTTTTTTCCTCTTCTCAAGCTCGTGTCCTTTTATTTAAAACGAAAAAAGCTCTAGATACACACTATCAGTTGTTATGCAAAGGATTTGACTGGGCAAAATACAACAAAAAATATCAGAAGAAGTAAAATTAGAAATTGTAACAATCCTATTAATTAAAAATTTTTTCGTTTAGTAAAACAAATTGATATAGAAATTAGTTTAATTTGTATTCTTTCTTTTTCAAACGTATCAGTTTTTATATTTATTCGATACTTTTTTACATAGTACTCAAGAGATCGGAATATAAAATATTACGATGCAACCTAGTAATAAATTAAAATTTATTCAAAATTTATACAAATTAGATAAACCTTTTGAGCAAAAGAACGCAAATATTCTAGGTAAACCATTAAAATCGATACACCTAATATCCTTTGTTTTTTAACTATATTTGAGAATTTTTTAATCGATTTGAATGTTTTCGAGAAAGGAAAACAATGCATAGAAATATGTTTTCCGAATTTCTTGATTACATTTAGGAGTACCAAAAAATAAATTAATTCTTGACAAAATGTTGTGTCAAAATTTAATTGCATTCCTCAATCAAGCTGTATTTTCAGATCAATTTTCTGTAATACAGCTATCCACTAAAAATAAACCGAATAAATTTTCCATTTCCTAATAATCCCTAACCTTTGAAGCGTCACTACAAATTGGGGAAAATATCAAAGTTGAAATTACTTTGAATCGCATCGAAATCGGTGAAGTGTTATCTTCTCTGGAATAATTATTTCAGTAATTATTTTAAAATAACCAATCGTGTAATAATTGTATACAAATGATACATTAGCATCGTCCTATAGATTTCTCAATTTTGCAATATAAAAATAATTTCATTAGTCTTCAATGTTACATGTGTTAGAGACAACCATATAACATCGCAGAATGATCGATATTTTAGTTTAATAATTACGATAACGCTATTCAGAAGTCATAAACCATGATAATAAATGGTTAGAAACTAATGGATATTTATCGTTGCTAATTAACCCATACAGATTTATCGTTTTTAACGTATTATTAATGATAAAATTATTATTAATGTTGCGTTTGTTACAATTAGTGATACAATAAATTGTATCATATATGGACATTCCTATTTATAAATAATTTCAATAACGAAACATAAAATTTCTAATTTTGCTAAAAATCAAAATTACTATAATTATTGGACATAAATTTATTTGAGGTAATAAAAGGCGCCGAGATGCAACGAATATTATATCAAACAGACTAGTTAATAAGTATATAAATGATGGTATAAATCTATGATTTACCATTTCGTTGACGCCATTTAATTATTTAAGTAGGAAAAAGAGAAAACACCTTTTGATGGTGTCACATAAATGTTCAGTAATGACGTAGTGTAACTGAAACGCATTATTGGAAATTTCATTGATCGAAAGGTCTTTTGAGAAATAATCCTTGCTAAATAAATAATGACAAGAAACGAAAAATATAATCTGATATAGCATTTTTATAAAGAGAAAAGTCTGGCTCACGGCTGTTCCATTAAAATTTCACAGCTTTTCGTGGATTGGTTCTCGAATCAGAGTTACCTTTATTATCGTCCCGCTCATTTGCCAGTATTTCGAATTTCGTTTAAACGTATGAATCAGTAATCACGAATGAAAAGTTTAATAATCGTTAATTGATTTTATTAAATTGTAAAATATTCACTTTGTCGTTCTATGAAAAATAATCACTGCATTGGAATTAATGGCACTGGCATGTGAAGAGGCTTCGGAAATTACTAACGACAGCAAAGTCTACGTGAAAAATATTGACATAGATTTGTTCGAATATTAAATATCATAATTTTCGAGAATAAAATTGCTGACTATTCTAATTTCTATTCGACACGAGCATCGATATTGTACGATTATTTCATCCGGAATAAAAGCAATCTAATATTATTTTCTATTTATATTATAAGAAAAACAAAATTTCACTGATTATAAAATCGTATCTTAACTCATCTTAAGAAACATTGGATCAAAAATTAGTAGATTTTCAGTTATTTTTACGAAACAAAGTATTTCTTTATGCATGCATAATAAAAATAAATCTCATATGAAGTCTCAAATTCTTAACAAAAAGAAAGGAAGAAAAGAGTAAATTATTTCGACGCAATAAATAAAGACAGTTTCATAAAGTAAACGCATAGAACAAACGCGTCATGCGATCAGCTGTTCATTAACTCGTCCGCCATCTTGCTCTATCTCAGTTCGTCTTTCCCAGGCCCTACTGAAAGCGTTTGAATGCTTATCAGGGCTGATTGAATGCCTTCTCCAGGTAGAAATTGAACCGATCCCTTCTTCCTTTATAACAACTTCCTTCGAATTGAAAGGAACAACGAATCTCTCAGATTTAACGACTCGAATCTTTTCCCAACGTTTAACGAAGGCGATGGCCAGTGGCGCCATTAGTGGCGCGTCCGGAGAAGCTCCAGTAAATCGTGTCTATCGTGCACGTCCGCGAAATTTCGATAAGGTCCGACCGTGCATAAATTCCGGCCGCGGGAATATATTCCGTATGACGAATGCATGCATTCCTTATCAATGCACGCAACTGTGCGCCTCGAAACGATCTGATCGCGACGGAATACTTTAAATGCTTGTGTCGTGCCTCTGTGTGATTTCAGCTCGAAAAAAGGTAAAGAGGGAAACTCGTACTTTTCTTCGCGCCATAACGACACACGATGTTTACGATTGATCGACGTTCTCGAGATAACATTTTTTCGCCGAATATTTACTGAATATTTCGAACGAGTGTACGTATTATATCCAGTTTGGTTATATACAACGAATATTTTTATTATTTTTCTGGATATTAAAAATGTCGAAAAATTATTTATATGGAAGTTGTTCGATGGATAGAAATGTAATTGTAAAAGAAGGTACACGAATTTTTATATCGAATAATTTTCTTGAGCGAATAGGTATGTTTCCATTGGATTTTGCGTATGTTTGAACAGTAAATTATCGAAAATTATTATGTCTGATTTGGTTATATACGACGAATATTTTTATTATTTTTCCGGGTTTTAAAAGTGTAGAAAAATTATTTATATGGAAATTGTTCGATGGATGGAACCGTAATTGTAAAAGAAGGTACACGAATTTTTATATCGACTAATTTTCTTGAAGAATATGGATGTTTCCATTGGATTTTGCGTATGTTTGAACAGTAAATTTAATTAATCTAATTTCGAATTCTAATATTAAACGAGTTTACCGTTTTATATAAAAATACCGTTTAATAGTGTATATTCGAACAAGTTATTCCTTCGTGCTGAATAAGAGACAGCGTCTGAGAGCATATGCATCTTTGATGCTTTCTCCATTCATTTCCAACCACACACTTTCTTAATAAATAATCATCGTCAATATCGGGAATATGAAATAATAAGAACGTCGGATCTAATTTTTCCCCTCATTGAAACTGAACTTGGTAACGTTAATGGAATTTGTAACCACCTTTCGTTTCTTCGAAACGAATCGAAACGTCGCTATCTCCACCGGTATAGCAACATTGAAATAAAAAATTTCGAAATGCTGTTTGAAGCAATATTCAGGAGGCACTAAAATTTGCCGGGCAGCGTAACACGTAGAAAAGTACACAACCCGGTTGTGCACGTGTCCCGATGTTCCGTCGGTCTCCCACTGACGATAGGATCTAATCAAAAATCCACGGCGAAATCTCTTCAATTATCCGTCGGTTGTGGAAGGCAGGAAGGAAGGAAGGAAGGAAGGGCACGGGCTAGCAACAAACGAGGATCGGGGCCGCTTGTAATTGCAAGCCCTAACACAGCCCGATACAACGTGTTATCTCTAATAACAGAACTGTCATGCATCAAAGTTCTCCAGTTGGTGCACGCGATTCGGATCTTCGAGGCTGGACGAGGGCAAGAAGAGGCGTAGTCCCACCACCGCGATAAAACCTCTCGACTCCGTGAGCCTGGTCTGGCGGAACGTACGTGCATGCCGATTCGAACAGGCTGTGTGCAGCCTGTGCGAAATCTGGACCGGTTGGAGCCGGTAATTTTCAGGGTGGCAAAGGATAATTGAACGATTAAGCGCGCCAGGACCCGGCCTTTCAGCCAGACCAATCTCTGTACGACGACGGGGACAGCGAGGACGAGGACAGGCCGACGAGGACAGCGACGACGAGCAAGGGCCAAACGAAAGAGGCGGTCGAGCCGAGGCGGAAAGCGTATAGGGCAATTAAAAAGTTTGATTACCTTGCGACGAGTGATGTTGAACTCTCGGTTGCAGCTCTTGCATTGGGTGACCAGGCGATCGTTCGCCCAGGTCGCTGCACCCTCTTGCTGCTGCTGCTGCTGCTGCTGATGGTGTTGAGCGTTGTCAGCGGCCTCCCGTAATTCGACGGCCGCCAATTTTGCCGCGCTCAATTGTCCCCCAAGTTCCTCCAGAGTTCGTTCCTGCTCGATGCAGATCTCCTTCAGAGCGTAATACTTCTCCTGCAGTGCCAGGTATTTCTGCAACACACGGCTTCGAATTACACGCTCCACACCTCCAAACTTTGTCCAACCTTCTTCCGGATCTCTCCTTCTATCCGCCCACTACACCCTGCTTGTTAGACGGCGCGATTGCGAGTCGAGCTACGTCGACTATTAGTGACGAGGTCCGATTGCGAGACGCTGAAGAAGTTTGGTAAGATTGATGCAGAGAAGCAGGATGGGAGAGAGAAGGCGGAGCGAGATGGTTGGAAGATCGATCGAGGATGCTAAAGCCTTTTGTTGTTGTTGGGTGATATGGTACGTAGGATCGTTTTTGGTTGGATTGACGCGAGATAGTATCGTTGGCTTCTTAATGGAATAAAATAAGCTTGTAAATAGAATGACGCTGACTAGCTATGAAGCAAGAGAGATTCGCTATGGACACACTTTTCTCATCTTTCTTAACACTAAACGTGTACCAAGCAGGGTCAAATGTGTTAGTGGTGCATGAAATTTAATAACAATAAGAACAATTATTTATTTAATTACAAAGATTATCAAACACAAATATTGGGTTGAAATATTGATTATTTTATCACTATCACATGCTCAAACGTCTTCTCTCTATTAATACTCAATTGCAACTTTTTTCTTTCTTCTTTCATACATTACATTAACATACACAATTCACACAACACCTCGATCATTACATACATACTCATTTATCATAATAACCTGAATTCGTTAGATATTTCAATCCCATGCATACTTGTTCCACTCATTCCAATATATATATATTTAAAAATCTACGCAACCATTACCACAAAATGACTCTTTCAAAATTTACTTCATAATTGTACATTTATTGTTACTTTCTTCGCTCATCTGACTTTCTGTAAATTCTTGTATTACCTGCTTGTTTAATTTCTCTCTGTCCCTTTTTGTAAAAATAAGAATACATGTTTGATTATTTTATTATGCATCGAAATAAAATCGCGAATTATTTCCTTTCATAAGTTAATAATTTTTTTCGAAAAATCTAGGTTTATTTCATAAGGGGTCATTTGACAACTGACTTTCATAAATTGACTTTCAAAACTGACACGCTAAATTGAAACTGATACACTGACTCACCCGCGCACTTGCACCTTCATTTAACCCTTTGCACATGGCAATTTTTTCGTTACAGGAATATAGTAATTCGGAGACTTTCTGCCATAAAGTCGACGATATTTTCAAAACGGTAAATAAGAAATGCAAATTAATTGTGAGGCGTAGAATTTACCTCGATATTCCACGCATCGTTGGGCAATTTTAAATTTTAAATATTAATTAACAACGATCTTTAGCATCTGATTAAATGGTGACTGATTGCAAAGGGTTAAACCTTGCACTCTGTCCTTTTTCATACTCAGGCTTTCTTTCTTGATCACTTCATTCCCTACGCGACCTTGGTAGGTCAGATCTTTCAAACACAGGACGCATTCGTAAACTTTTCTGTCATAAACATCCCTTACATTCGATTTTCTCATGCACGTGGTCACTTTCGTTCTAAGCCTAAACACTCTTGACTCTCTTTCAGGGGCGTACCTCATTCCATTCCTACATGGTATAATACGAATAGATGATCGAAGCCATGGCGTTCGATTTAGGGTTGATATCAAAATCAATGACCAAACTGTGAGTTTGTTTGCCTTGTTTCGTTGCATGGAAATAAAATTTTTTTATTTTCGATTTCGAAGAATTGTTCCATAGCTGTACTTTTCTTTTGATGAATCGTGTTTGCAGTTTGTATTACCGCCACCGTTGTTTCGGTTAAAAAAATAGATGAAATTGGATACGTTAAATGTCGGGATTTGCATCTGTATTATTAATCTGCCGAAAGAATAACGAGGTATTCGATTCTGATGATAATACGGTGTAAAGCAAAATTTTCCCCTCTGCGTTCATTTCCCCAGTAATTCGTTATTCGATCTATTATTTCGTGTAGCTTCTGGCGCACGCGAAATGCAAAATTCATTTACCATTCTATCAGAAAAAAGGAAAAATTTGCGGAGAAATTTAAAGGATCGTTCTTTGGACAAAGCATTGCGTTAGAGCGTTAAAGAGTAATTTTATTTTAATTTTATTTTAGATCCTAATAATTCCCGAAGGAGCTAATTCCTCGCATAATCTACTTCAACCCATTAAGGGCACAAGGCCAAGACGATTTTTAAATTGTAAATTAAAACGTTTGACCGTTTTAATATCGTTTCTTTCATAATCCTTGTCCAACTTAAATGCAAAATAATTATTAACGTGGTAATTGTAAAATCGCAAAATATTGCGTTTGCACGACCTTGGGCCATAATGTGTTAAATATTAAATATAATTAAATGTAAATAAAGTACAGGTGACTCTCCTGTAACACGGTAGATAGGTTCCTAGAAAATGCCGTGTTGTGTGAAACCGTGTTGTATAAGACCCAGAGCCAGTACGAAAAGGGGGGGTTACGTTTCGAAAACTTACTAAAAACAAATTCTTTTTTTATTTCTACATAAACAACTTAATTTTTATTAAAAATATAAACGTATGTACGACACAAAACAAAACAAAAACAAAAATATTATTTTAATTTAACGCAACTTTAATTTAATAAACTTCTTCGTCGTCATTGCTCGTATAGAAGTATAGTGTTGTACAAAGGTTTTTGCAATTTTCTTATTGTGTTAGAGCGAAACCGTGTTATAGGATGCCGTGTTGTAGGAAGGCTACCTGTACTAGTAATTAAATAAAGTTTAAATAAAATTAAATAAAATTTAATTCAATAATTAAATAAATTAAATAAATATGGTACTTTGGTCGAGATCACGACGAGAGAAAGAAATTTCGTACGATGCTATCTCGTGGTCGTAAGTGACCATAATTAAATTACAAATATTATTTCAATTGGCAAACACGATCAAGATACCATCTCAGAGTTTGGTCATCCAGTTAGGAAGCCATTGGTGCACGCGATATGGCGAAGTTGAGGCCGACACACAACGTACCTCGGACACCCGCTTCAACTGATTGATCTCCTGATGTAATTGAGAGATCCTCTGGGCGTTGGAGATCGATGATTTCTGCAAGGATGTTCTCCATTCGCGTTCGAATTGCAATTCCCTCTCGACGCTGTTCGCCTTCGCCTCCTTCTCGGCAGCCTCAGCCTCCAAAGTCTTCGCCTTCTCCACTGCCCCTGATATCACGTTGCTCATTTCCTTGCACCTGATCAAGTCAAATCGCTGATACTCAAAAATCTCGGACACATTACCATATCCTCCCTCTCTCTAATATTCGTGAAAAACGATCAAGAGACTGTGAAAATTTCGACGACTGACACTCTAACAGCGTTGAGAGAATTTTGCGGAAAATAACACGACGTACAGTCGCTCGGGAAAGTACTTCAATGCCAGCATTGCAAACTTTGAACAGGTGAAATGTGCACGATGGACACGAAACTTTGAAGATAGTATTGTGCTTGAGATAAGATGCAAGCCTGTGTGGGTAAAATTGGAAAACAATTCAGTGATAGGTACAGGATATGTGAAACGTGAAATATTTAAAGACTGTGCATAATTATTAATATGCAATTAATTAATATTAATACAATTATGTTGTAATATTTATTATTATAACAGTATGAGATTATTATTTATGTTGTAATATTTGTATGATATAATATTTAAAAATATTTTTGTAAATATTTTTATAATCGCGTCTAGAGAATTCTGTATTTTTAAGGATCATTTTATTTAATTGTTCCTTGAAAGTGCCCACATCGATATCTTAACTTTAACAGCGTTCTCTTCAAAGTCCGAGCTGTATATCCCATGTATCAAAAGTTCGGTATACAAACATTCTAATAATTTCACGAGCAACTGTACATAGCTAGGCAAGACTGTGTACGAAAATTCGAACAAGACTAGGTTGAAATTAGCTAAGCATGGAACAGTTAAAATCGAGATAGAACTTTCGACAGAAAGTAATATAATATAGTGGTAAAATAATTTAAGGGAACAGTAACGCGTGACAGTAATTTTATACGTGATGAGGCTGATGAATTTATGAAAGTATAATTGAAATTTTGATATGACAAAGATGATGAATGTGTTTTAATTTGAAAGAAAATTTTGACGATACTCTTACAGGTAATTGCGCAATGAATTTTGCAAAATTCGTATTCGAGGCACTGTCTTGCGATCATTTAATACCGATACAGCTTAGGTAACCTAATTAAATTGCGACGAGGCAACGCATTCGAACGAAATGACGGAACTTTGACAGAATTTTCTGATGTTATTTCGAGAGATTATTCCGGGTACGAGCGGTACAAAAGGACGAATAAATTACTATAATAACCAATGCGGCCGTCCGTTTAAACAAAATTCGCTTGGGAAACTGGGGTATGCAGTTTCGCTTACTCGGAGTTTACAGAAATGCTAAGCTTCCCGTGGAGAAAAGGAAGTTACAAAAGCACAAGGATCTGTAACTTAGTTCGAGGTCTCGTTGAAACTTTCGTCATGATTATTCATGACTGAATACCGTTATCCGGCCGAAGAAACAGGCAGGATGTTTTTTTAATGGCTTTATACCATAATCCCCGAGCGAATTCAGCAAAATGTCGGTTCCCCGCTGCTCCTTTATTTTTCACCCGTAGTTCATAATCCAATCTTTAACGCTGCAAGATCTCGACTTACCTTTCAACGTAAATTCGTCGCTCTCATGCAAAAATTGTAATTAATCGTAACGAAGAAATTACGAGGCCAGCTTGACTAATGGATCTCCGCTTATATACGTTTCAACGTTTCAAATCAAATGAAACTTAACCCTTTGCACTCCACTAGCGCCACTGCGGGGACACTGATCTACTGTGCAGTTCGTTGTTCGATTTCGTTTTCTTCGACAAAGATGAAAATGTATGTAACGCTATTGTACGAATAAATTCATATTTGTAATTTTCTTCCCTTCCCTTCCTTGCTCTTTTTAAATGAAATTTCTGGTGTCAATACTATGGGTAAAAAATAATGCAGCTGTCGATAGAGGTCAATGAACTACTAGAGAATAGAGTATAGAGTGACTTATTTAAATCGACTAATTCGAAGAGCTTCGTTAGTGTTAGTGGTAGGTATTAAAAAATGTTTCGACTTTGTTTTTTAAATATGGAGTTGCATATTTTTAATGCAGTAATTAGTGCAACTTGTCAAACCTATATAGCACTTGTCATAGGCCAACCTTTATACTATATATATCATTTATGTCAAAAGAAAATATTTTAGAAGATATTTTCATTTTAGTTGAAAGAAATTTTAAACTCGACCCAATTGAAATTTTAAACACTCAAATGAAGTTTTAAATTCCACTCCTACCCATTTTTTAACTCTAGAAGGTAATTTTAAATACCAATTTAAATTTTATCTATGGTATACACTAATACCTCATATTGAATTTAATTATTATATTTATTTTAATTTAGCAGTTTAAAAAAGTACACATAAAATATTTACAAATATATTTATAAAGGAAATTCATATCAGGTTAGTTCTCTAAAATTACTTAACTTTTCTCTGATTTATATTTTAATACCACTAACGATATCGAAGGTATACAAGCGGGTCAATTTAAATGGGTCACCACGTATATATTAAGACGTCTTCAGCTAGCTAAACTATAATTGCGAACTTTCAGACGATATTTTCCAACCATGCTAATTGTGGCATTATAGTAGACTTTTGGTTCAAAATATAATTCAAATCGCCATGATCGACGTTCCTAGAACAAAGGACTCTTTAGTCAACATTTTTCAATTAGAAATTTAGTCCTCAATGTGATCAGGAAAAATTGGGTTCAATCATCTTGGAAGAAATACTTAAAAATCACGTATCTTTTCTTATATCATAAAAATTAAAATTCGTTTAATCGTCAAACTGCACTGAATAAAACACGTACTACTACTAAATTGATGAAATCTTTATCCTCTCAATGGTTCACGAATTTAGACTTCAATCTTAATACTCATACCAGGAGAATAAGAACTGTACTGTAAAAATTAAACAGTGTATTTGTGAATCACATATATAGTGCATAACTAACTCTTCTATTAAAACTAGAGTTAAAAAAAGCTCGAAAATCAATTATATATTACATGACTACGCCCTAAAATAAATCTGGAAAATTTGCAAAAATCTTGTCACCGTAAAGGTGCCCTAGATCATCTAGTCGAGCGAATAGAAATAATTATAGGAGTGCAAAGAATTAAGTGAGATTTGCAGAAAATTAGGACAACAAAGAAATAGATAAAGGAGATCGTAACTATACGCACAGCTTCTTCCTTTAACGACAAAGATTAAACCGTGGATTACATTACAATGTCGGAAATTAATTGAACAGAAAAATGTCTCATCTTGGGTGCAAAACGATGATGAAGAGACGAGAGTAATTAAATGCAAGCTATCTTCTCTCATGAATTTATTTTCCGCTGCATTGATATACAAGCACACAGGTGTCTCGGTGCATTATAAAGACCATTACTCGATGCTTATACATAATTATATTTATATAAAGATATATCATGGCACGTTTCTTTCATAAGTCTCTCCGTGAACGTGACACAAACGGTGTGTACATGTGTACGTGTATATATGTGTGTATATCAGTGTCCGTGTATAACGACGAGGAATACACAGTCGAGAAACAATTTCATCGATATAAAAGCAAAAAAGAGACAAACTTTTTGGGAGCTCATGGGGCGAAAGAACAGCGGGTACAGTGTAGAGAAAAGGGACGATAAAAATGATCGCAAGTCAGTTCCTGAAATACGAGGTATCGTGTAATCCGTATTTCTAATTGACCAGATACCACCGATCGAGCATACAGGGTGTCCTGTAATTAGCGGCACAATTAGACAGTGGCCGATGCTACGAGAAAATGAATCAAGAACGTGGAAGAAATTTCTTTCGTACGAGGCTTTATTTTTGGAAAAATTGGTTTTAGTTAGGTACGCACGCAATTAACTCTCGATGCAATTTTTGCACACACGATGGAAGTTTCACGCGAATATCGAGCAATTAAAAGGAAAGAATATTTCAACGTTTGACGAAGTAAAATACTAGACCGTGTTATACTTTGCTTATAAAAATTTCAATGAAATATAGCATCGCGTATTTAAGAGAATGGGAAAAATTCCTGAAAGTTTTCCGAGTAATATTCAAATATTACTATGTATACAACTACATTTACACTTACGTAATAAGTATTATCACATACTTAAATATATATATATTTATACTTTAGTAACATTTTAAGTGATATTCCGATAATAATGTTTTAAGTGAAGTTAATTACTAGTATATAAATGAATTTTGTTACCATTAGGTACCATTACGCGAATAACGTGTATAGCCTATAGCGAGATTCGTTAAATCTAAAGGTAATTAAGTGCACTCGCACTAGCGAGTACCTAACATGAAAATATTCGCGAAGGAAGCCTTACGTGTCAAAATTTTCTCTCGCATTTCTCGCGTACTTTTCCACGTAGATTCACCCTCTTCTAGATTGCACCACCTGTTACAGAAGATCCTGCATAATCGACGAGCAATTAACATAAAGTGTACTTCGCAAGTGTCGACACTCCTATGTGTCCTGCTCGCTTGATAGCAACCGATAATCACATTAACGATTCGTTTGCTCGACTCGAGATATAAATCTATGAATTATTGCGGTAAACATGAAATTGTCGCTATAACATTAATATTTATAATATGTATATAGTATATATATTTATATATTTATATTTATATAGACTTAATAATCATAATCGAGTAGCCGTTGAGTTGAAGGTTTGGCAAGATCTCCGTTAACGATAAGTTATGAATCTCTTCTACGCTGTTTGCCTTCGGCTAATCTACCCTATGTCAGACCGCGTTCGCGACGCCTAAGTAAAAATAAATCACCTCTAGCTACAGTCGTCGGGCTTGATCGTTTCTCGATGTCGTCGCACGATGATCGTCGAGCAACGACGGCCTACGGACAATTTCTTTATCACGACTAAGTTTTGTACGTAAATGCTAAAACGTTTAACGACGTTAATAGAAGATAGTAATATCTTGCGTTATAGGGCTCTTCCGGGGTACGCGGAGAACACGGGACTCGGTGAGATCGTGGTGTCAAGATTTTGGAAAATCAAAAGTACCGATGGAACCATGGTAATCGTAAGAAGACTTTGGTATTCGAAAATTCCTATTTTACCCTATCACCAAGTAACGGAGAAAAATTTTAAATCATTCCCTCGCTTTGTTCCGCTCCGTTCCGTTTTTCCTATTTTACCCTATCACCAAGTAACGGAGAAAAATTTTAAATCATTCCCTCGCTTTGTTCCGTTCCGTTCCGTTTCGTTCCGTTCCGTTCCGTTCTATTCCGTTTCGTTTCGTTTCGGTTCGTTTCGGTTCGTTTCATTTCGATAATCCTCCGCGCGAAGAAGAATTTACGATCGACAGCTTTGTTGATCAAACCTCGAATTAATCGTGAGAATGTAAATTGGTGGGTATTCGGATAGCACACGGTTCCTTTAGAAACTGATAGAGCTGCGTGAAGCTTTCAGGGTACCAGAGCCTTCTTCTTGGTCATGCGGATCGCGTGGACGATGACAAGAAAATCGTACAATGATGGCGTAAGGCTGCGAGTTCACGATTGTACCCGCGAAGCGAGATAAGGACGATAGGTTGTTGGTATTGACTTTAACAAAGTAGCGATCGTGTCGTACCTAATCTAAAACCGATTGGTCAGTCGTGCTTACAAATTAATTAACAGTAATAAAAGGCAAATAAACATACTTCTCATCCATTTTTTGGATGGTCTCAGTCATCGATAGCGTCTTAGCCTCCAATTTAGTGATCAGTTCTGTTTTATGCTTAAGCGAGCCTTCGCACTCCTGAAATAAACTCTGTTTCAGTAAAATGCCGAAATATACCGTTTCGTGTATTTCTCGACTAAAGGAATATCCCTGAAATCGCACATAATACTTAGAAATAGAGAGTACGTGTATAGCGTAGCTGCAAGCTCAGCCTGTACCAGTGTAATGTAATCGTAAATATAAAACAGCTCTCTAAAAAGATTCAGACGACGCAATTCTTTCATGAAGTGAAGTGAAGTTGGTCGAAAATCATGCAATGTGGATTCTCGATTCCCCCAAACATGATTTCAATTTAAATTTCGTTTTCGATGGATTTCCAATGGAATGTTAATCGTCAGGTAGCACACAGACTTTGGTTGCGTTCGTGGCAGACAATTTACGAAAAATTTTCATTTCCATAAGCTAATAACGGAATTCTCTAAATTTTTATAAACAAATGTCAGAATTCTTCAAACTCTGTTCAGTGAACGTATCTTCGAGACGATCGAATTAACGAAAGAATTGTTCGAATTGACAGAAAAATTGCTATTCATGTGATACGTGATGATTAACATTCCTTAGAATACAAGGTTTGATCCACGATGGATTGAAGTCAGGTATCAGAGACACTCTACGGACAGAGTCACGAATATAGTCGGAATCTAATAAAAGATCAGCAGAAGGATCGAACATTGTGAAAATAACGATACGAAAAACATGGATTAACGTTATTGTCCTCGGTAGTTCTGTGTACACAATAGCAATTTTATTGAACAGCTTAATACTATGCCGTAACACAGAGCACAGCTAACTTCATAGAGTGTCTCGATCGAAACACGCCGCGACAGGTGTTCTATTGAAAGCATACTGATGCATGACTTGCTAGATAGTTGAGTGTCGAATATTTTGCTTAATTCTCGATAATATTCTACGCATTTTATGTATATAAAGTTCTGCCCTGTGAAAGGTCTAAGTGATAGTTTGATATAGCTGTTTAGCATAAGATGTATGGTAGCAGTGCTTCTGAATGATCCAACAACATTTCACAATAATATTCTATTCGGATTAATAACAACTATAAATGTAAATCCTTTTCTTAATATATCGTAACAATTATGCTTTTAGGCTTCAAGTACACGGTACAGTCAATATCTACTAACTTAATCAACATGTAGGATTCTTCGTTTATGATACAACTTATTCGAAAATAACAAAAGATCTATAAATTCGAGTCTATTAAAGGAACTAAAATTAAAATGAAACCAAGATCGAGAGGAAATTACAGACTCGGGTATTTAAGGAAAATAACGAGATACGTGAATGGAACTACGGGAAATGAAATGAAATCGTATCTGATAAACTATGTACACAAGTATCGATCGACAAATATGCAAATACGCTACTACTCTTATATACATAGAGACACTGTTGAAAATGTCATTGGACATTTCAGGAACACGTCTGTATAAAGAATTTGTTGTCTTCTACACGCTCTTGATTAATCGAAATATTAAACGAGTGTGAAGATGCATAGTATAAAAACCATTCTTTAAAGACAATGTTCTTTTATGCAGTCGATTTCTCCTTCGTCGAAGACTCCACTGAAACCTCACCACTGGGTTTACTCTGCTTTACGTTATCAGGCTTTGTCGATCCCTTGTCGTTAGCGCCATTTTGTTGTTCATCAACCCTCGTCTGTCCAACGTCATTGGCAGAATCTGATAGCTTAACGAGAGATTGTTGTTGAGCATTATTGGATTGCTGGTGATTGTTAGTGGATGACATTTGCTTGTTATTAGTCGGTTTTTGGTGATGGTTAGCTGACTGTTGCTGATTATTAGGAGGCTGCTGCTGATAATCAACCGCGAAGACATTGTCAGCAGACGAATAACGGTACGGTGAGGTGGGACTGGTCTTATTAGTAATCGGTTTCGAGACACTGCTCGGTGTGGTAGGGCTACAAATATTTTCCCCCTCCTTGTTCTTATGGTTCCACTTCTCGAGATTATTCAGGATCTTGCTGATCTGATTTGTCTTCGCGTGAAGTCGGCTGACCATTTCGCCTCTCTGCGTTAGTTCGTGCTCACATTCCTATAATGGAAATATTTCCAGAAACAAGGAACGTGGAAAAATACCCAAACCCCAGCGTGGCAAAGGGGATCATAAACGGTTAAACTGTCTGAGTGGAATCAAAGTTCGCTAAAATCTGAAAAGCTGACGAAATTAAAGCAGAGAGGAAAAGAAACAGCGCAAAAATGGAAATACGATAAAAGAAGACATAAATTAGAAGAGATTACAGGAAGAAATAATAATCGCGACGAGGATCTGCCTCGTAATCGATGGTCGGGAAAAATTCATCAATTTCCACGTTAAAATCAAATAATCCGAGAGGATGAAAAGACCGCGATTGAACTTAGGAAGCATCCTGCGTCGCGATTAACGCATGGAAAGGAATACGAGTGATCACCTGTAGCTTTTTATACATTTCCAAGTTAATTGACTTGATTTCGTCGAGCTGTCGTTGCAAAGATATGATCACGTCTTGTTTCTCATGAATATCTTTCTCCAGCAACTTCATAGCCACTTCCATTTCCGACTCCATACTAATCTGCTCACAAAAAATTAACCAATCACTTCTCCAACTCTAACCTCCGCCATAAATAACATTCATTCCTCAATACGTAACATATATAGAAATTTCAAATACTCGATTAAGAAAGAAAATTAAAAGATACGAATGCAACGGATCCAGAGTGATTATTAAAAATCTGCCATCCACCTGTAATTCTAACTCCTTTTCTAATTCCTGCCGTAGCTTCTTTTCAGTCTCTAATCTACTTCTCAACTCCTCAATCTCCGTCGTCGTTTCAGTGATTTTGATTGGCGCTTTCCCGTTCTGAAACCAGAACAAAATTTCGCTTTCAACCATGAAGACTTCATCGCTAACAAGACCTCTTTAAACGTGAAAACGAAACTCGTACCTCGTTCGTGTCTTTGATCTCAATTCCCAACTCTTTCTTCAATTGTCTGTTCTCCTCGTGAAGCGACAGTATATTATTTTTAGCGATAGAAAGGTCCTCCTTCATAAGAGCGTTCGTCGTTGTCAAGGATTCCACTTTGGCTTGAAGATTCGTTACGGTCGCGCTGAAATCCACGTATCAGTACAAGTTCTAGGGTTCTTTAATCACAGAAATTCGTATAAATCGTTGCATGAGACATAGTTACTTTAAATGACGATTCAGTTCCTCGATATAATTTTTCTGATCGAGAACAGTGGTCATGTTGTCGTTTTCGAGCTCGTCGTCTGGAGATTCGCCAGGTATATGATTGCTGTTCCGCAGATATAACGAGAAATCGATTACGCACTGCTGGCAATCGAGATCTTCCTCCTGTGCCAACAATTGCAATCAGTTTCGCCGCTATTACACAAACCCACGGTCAAAGTGGAAAACGTACGACTGACCTTTACGCAAAAGTTGCAGTCGATTACGTTTAAGCCCACCAACAAGCCCATTATAACGATTGCCTCTTCGCTCATCATCAGAGCGTCAGGCTCGAAATACTCCGACAGTATGTCTTCTTTGTGATCGATCAGAACTTTCAAGTAATCCGCAAGCTTTTTTTGCATCAATGCCATGCGTAACCATGCTCGTGCTCTACCCATCGCAGTCCTGAAAAGGTCAGCCTGGTCAATAAACCGTATGTCAAGTGGAACTCACCAGGGACATGAACCAATAGGGGTGATCTAATTTCCCTTCTCAAATACGTCATTCAATGACACGATACATGTGTGCACACAGTATTAGATTTAGCGTGATCTAGTTCTACGAGTAATCGAAGATTCCTGTTTTACCACGATAAGTCTCGCAAATTTTGCAATTTCGATCAATTTCCACAGAATTTGTATCTTCAAAAATGACAAACGAAATTTGACAACGTTACCAATGATCTAAGTTGTTCGTTAAATTGGATATCTAGTGAAATTTGGAAATTTCGAATAAATCACTATACCGAAGCGAATTTGATATTTTCTCTTTTATTAACAGTAAGAAACCGAGAGTATATTTCTAGCAAAATTTGTGTAAAAATTAAAATCGAAACGATACCAAAAATTAGTTTTCTATTCCGTTTCAAATGAAATTAATAAATTATATAAATACTCTGAGATACGCGTAACAAAAATTGCTGTGTATCGTTTAAAATTGATGGCAACTTAAATAACTAAATTTCAACTTATCGTATATATAAACGAAATAATAGGTAAATACAAAAACAGAATTAGGTTATACCTAACAGTGGGTAGATCACGAATACTGGACGTAATGTCCTGTGCTTCGGGGCAATATTTCTCAATGACTTGAAGTATATCCCAAAGCTCCTTCTTGGGTCCAAGGAGACCCTGAAATCGAAGGCAGTTAGTGCCATTTCCTTTGCTATTATTTGGAATTTTTGTTTTGCGTTTAATATAAATCAATATTCAGACAGTTGGAAGGTGTCCTTTACCTTCTTTGGTCGTAAACCATGCCTAAGTACGTGTTCGAGAACGATGAAAAAGTGTTGCAGTGGCATGTGATCAGAGTCGAGCATTCGACCATATTTCAAGGACGTTTCGATCAGTTCCTTCACGATTAATTTCGAAATATTCACGAGATTACTCCTCTCGATGATCATTGGATCACGTGCTGCAAAAACAACAGGTTCTTGATCCAGATAAAAACGACAAAAATGTTAGAAATCTTCGTATCACGGTAATCACGGTACTCGTATCATTGTCGTTGGAAACTTAAAATTTAAGACATTCTTCCCGGGAGCATGAAAATGATGGTATGAGTATGCGAGTGTCGCCAAAGCGCAACGTAAAATTATTAAGAAAGAAAAAGTTGCGCCAATAAAGGAATTCTCGATGACAGATAGAAAAACTCTATGATACGTGCCCTCGAGAACCACGGAAACCATAAAAATAAAAATGGACGGGACGAAACCAGTCGTATCCTCGAGGAAACCAATTCCGGCGTATAAATTTCGAAATTCTGCTCGCGAATTTCATGGAACTCGATTCAAAAATAACGATAAACCTTAAAAAGAAGCAATGCGAAGAATAAGTCGCACGAGAAATGCCTCTAATTTGTAAACCGATCCACTTTCTGATCCATTTCCGTTACACTCGACTACCACTGAGTCTCCGGTGAACCCGAATAAATTAAGCTAGCCGGAATGAATTTCCCCGGGGATCGATTTCACGGTTGAACAATTTCGGTTAACGAAGACCGAGCAGCAGAATCGGAAAAGAAAAATAACGAAAGCGTGGAAACTTGAACTCGTCCTGGTCACCGCGACGAAGAAAACGATCGCGATCAGAGCCGACTGGTGCAACGCTGTGTGAACCCGTGTTCCAACTGAACGGGTGGAGAAAGAGAAGATGAAGCGAGTAGTGCAAGAACATCGAGTACAGACACAAGCTGGAAACGTGCTGCAATGGCGGTGGGCTTGGTGGCATTATATCGCGAAGCTCTTGCTGAACGGGAAGCTGTTGCTGGCGATGATGATCGTTATGATGATGATGATGATGATCAATACCACTAAAAGCTAGCGGTGGCGAGGGCGACCGATGCATCGAGTCCTGCAACGAGAACTCGACATCCTGAAGCTCTTTCAGGCACAGCCACTCGCCGTCGACTGACACACGGAAGTTGCACAGGTATATCGTATCTTGGGCGCCAGCCATGTCGTCTTCAAGCATGACCCCACTGTGCTGCACACCGTGGTCTCCCAGTGGCCTGTTCTTCAGACCGTTTTGGGACTCTTGCCGCATAGAAGGCCGTTGGTGACAATGGATCCCTTTAGGCTACTCCGAATCCGGAGTTCTTGTACTTTGGCTTCGGTGCCTTCTCCTTGATATCGATCACATCAACGAATGTACTTTGACACGATGAATGTCAGTATATTTGGAAAGAGAAGCGAACTTATGTCATCTGAACAATGTCGATCGATCGTTCTTTGTTTCGTAACGATCCTCGATCTAATGGCTGTCTTGCCCACTGACGATGTCACTTTAATCCTTTCAGTAGACGGTTTGTTCTTGTCAATGCGTTTCACTGATGCAATTTAGCCGACGTTCGTTGAATCGACGAGTAGACGTTTGTTGACCACTTTATGTTTATTTATGTTTAATCGCAATCACAGTCCTGTCTGAGACGTTAATTACGTGATGTTCATCCGGCGCCGATGTTTCTCAACTGTTAGAGCGTTAGTTTTTGCGATACGTAGTAAACGGAAATATAGACACTGCGGTAAAAGCGAAGAAAAAAAAAAATGTTGGCTAAAGCGGAAAAAAGAGATCGGCCGCACTTGTTTTGATGCTACATTGTAGCTGAATGTTAGTTTCTTAAGAGCTTAACATCGGAGAGACTGATTCACTGTCGAGGGAAACCGCGTATGCCGTGCGTCACTTGGCGACGAAAAATTTTACGATGAAAATGGCTGAATCGCCGGCGAAAAGTAATATTGATTCTCCCGCCGACCATACCTCCACCTATGATAATCAATACACATGCTCGAGCTATCTGGCTAGAACGTGCTGCCATCTGCCACGGTTAAGCTGTGTCAATAAAACAGTACATGGTAAAGTAGAGCATAATACACGGTAAATGGAACTGCGCTGCATACGTTCTTTCACCGTGATTTTATCCTAATATAGTTAAAACAAAATAACATTACGAGATCATTATATATATTGCATTAATCGTAAACGAGGTCGCGCGATTTTCTTTTAAATATCTCGTTTAAATGGAATTTTATTTCAAAAGTATCATCTGCAAGTTTATCTGCAAAATTATTTCAAAGTACATCCTTCGAACACCAAAACACTGTTTTATTTTATTTTTTGTCTTTTTCCACGAAAACGCGAATTTTTCTTATTAAAAAGTTTACTGTGCCTTACACTCAGAGGCGCTGTGTAAAGCTCAGTAATTAGTAAGAAATACGTAACCAATTGGCGAGTAGGCAACCATATGCGATTAACAGAATCAAACACCGAGCTACTCGTCTGTCGGAATTTTCTTTCGTTTTTCTTTTGTTTCCATTTTCGTTATTGTTTCACGGCTAACCGAAGTCGCAGTAACGCGCAGTGACCATCGTGACGTGGGTAAACAACCTGCCTCTTGGATTGTCCAACATGTAACACATGTAATATTTCCATTGATGATCACGTGACTGCGCGTTGGCTCGCAAGTAGGCGTTTCTCGACAAAGAAACGAGACCCGGCATGTGCGCGCTGATACGTCTACGCGTCGTTCGGTGACGTTGAATCACGCGCATCTGGCATCGGCGAAACGTCGACTTTGAAATGCGCGCCGAAAGCGGATCGAAAACATGCACGTATCCTGCTATGTACTTACGTCTCGGTAACCACCAAGCGTCCAGTTTTCTAGGCCTCGAGACCACTAGATCCGGCCACTTGTCCTCCCGTATCGAGTAAGTCGACAGTGATCGCGATACACTTTTCTCATTTTCTTCCGACACTAAGCTACCGGTTAACGATTTCTCGGACGGAGATATTGCCAAACCTTCGCTACTCTCCGCGGCCATGTTTACGTTTTCACTGTACGCTCGCGCGCGCGCTTGCCAACGAGTGGCTGCCTACGTTCATGCGTTCTCGCGTGCGCACGCAGTTAGCGATGGGAACGACGC